CTCCATTAGCTACCAGATTATGTTGGCCCGCTGAACTAGAAATGTTACACGCCGTGCGCCGGCGGCGGCGATCATTTTACGTTGGCCGCGTATCAATAAAGTTGTAGTGGGGCCGTCGATGCCGGGCGTTGTGATTGACAGACGCAGAGGTCACGATATTGTTGCAGGGCAACAGTTCGCGGGAATTCCTCCGCGTACGATTTATCGAGTGCTCTAAGTGCTCGTGAAGACATTAATGCGCGGCCATACGCTCCGTTTAAAGTAACAGATAACGAATAAAAGTCTTCTCGGCACTGGTTAACATTCTATTTATTATGTTACACAACGTAATTATTTCACTTGCCACATTATGTTAAAAAGCAGATAGAATTCAAAGTTATTAAAGAGTGCGGTAGAGTTGCAGAGTCGTTTACCGACAACGAATACACGGTTGTTAACTGTCTCGTAAGATGATGGAAAGTACGCGATAGGTTTTTGAATACTTGTTGTCTCTCCATTAGTTTATGCATATATCTAAATACCGATTTACTGATCTACAATCACTAAGACAAAATTATCATGTAAATGATATGTAACCTTGATTTGGAAGTAGTTCAATCTCGACTATAAATGCTTTAGTGGTGTACTAATCAAAGGATTTGAACAGTCTCCATATAATAAAATATAACATGTACTTATGTGTCTTATATATCAATTGTAAAAACTATTTATAAACGAATCAACTTATTTTCTCTTCTTCTACAACGCCCACTTAGAGTGAGTAAGGTGAAGGTTTGTTATGCTTTTTAGCTCTATTTACATAGTTTACATTGAATGCTGTCGTGGAATTGTGTTCTTTATTACGATCTGTTAGAGTTTAGTATCGCGCGCCCGTGCAATGTTAATGCTGATGGATATTTAATATCACGGACGGACTGCCGACGCAAACATCTGGATGTTGGAGGCTAAGCGACGAATAATAGAGGCGTTTTCACAGCATTATCGTCGTTATGTAACCGTGTTGAAATTAAATGTATGCTATGTACGGTATTTGATGTGTTGAAATTAAATGTATGCTATGTACGGTATTCGATGTGTTAAGATTAAATGTATGCTATATACGGTATTAGATGTAAACGTATGCTATTCGTCACTAATTGCCCAGTGGTTGGGGCATCATTGGTGATAATATCACCGATTTGAGCCCTGATGACCTGAACCGGTTTTTCGGTTGTACGATTACCCATGTTGCAAAATCATTGTCAAACGTTTTGCACTGGTGAAGCTCGGTGTGCCTGTTAATAGTTTATAGGCATCTATGCTATGCCTGATAACTTCATCATGGGAAAAGATTTAAGGGTACGTCGTTGTTCATATTATTTATCTATATAAATGTAAAATGTATATAAATGGAAAAGCTTATGGAACAACTTTTATGTAAATAAAAAAATATGATACCCGCTAACGGACTGCTGCTTTTAATTTCAATAGACCGATAAGCGGCCCAAGACTTGATGCGTGATCTACTTAAGTTAAATCGTGTTTAGATATTCCCAAGTCGATTACATTCTGCGCTTTCAACTAGTTTTAAGGTCATAAGCGTGTTCATTTTTTCTTTTGGTCTGTGCACAACGTGAAATTAAAATGCGATCGTAAATTCATATTAATCACGTCGTACATGTTATTCTAATAACATGTTATTGCTATGAATAAAGTTTGATTCGGGTACGTTTTATACAACGTCATTTCTTATGAAGTTACTAAACGCCGTGTTCTATTTGTTTACAGGTATGTTCGAGCATTTCTCATTAAATTTACAAAGCTGAATGCAGGTAAGTATTTAACTGTTATTGTGATAGTTACCTATAAAGTTATGCATTTAATACATTTAGTTGCCTGATTATGGGGTTTTCAGAACGGAAATTAAATGAAGAAATGATATCAATTTCGAGTTTCGACAAGAATTCTACATTTTTAAATTTATCGAATTTATTATAAGTGAATACCTGCATAAACATTTTACTTTTGCTCGCTTTGGAGTACGAATAATGACTCGTATCTTTTTCATTTGTGTAAGCAATTAAAGCGCTTTTATTTCTCCTGTAACAAAATTTTAATCTATCCAGCGTGCATCGTATATCGCTTGATAGGTTTTCTTTTCGTTACAATCACAACAAGCACAATCCCGAAAAAGCGACACAATAGACAATAGACGTGCGTGCAGTCCCCCATTTCCACGAAGGCTGCGTTGCGTTTTTTTGGTCGCTAGGTAAGTGCACGTAGTGTTCCGTGGAACAATGATCGCAGGTATCCCATTCCGGTGCCCGTGCGGTGTGTAATAACGGCAATTATTTCGGGCACAATTTGGGTACGTAGAGCAGACAGGTAGAGCGGCTGCGTCCCGTCAGCGACTCTCAAACTGTTGACGCAGACAGTTATCGACATGTGAAAATAAACAACTCCTGTTTACATTTTTTTTTATGCAAATGTTGTATTTTTCAATTGAAACCATTTAACGGATTCCATCGCGTTTTAAATTGGTTTTTAAATTCCCGACGTGTAACTCTTTCTAGCGTTCGGACAGACTGTCCCGTAATCAATAACTTTAAAATGAGTAAAAACTCTCGAACAATTAAACGTTTAAATTGTTTTAAACTGAATTTATTATGAGGGGCATATTTAGCATTCAAATTAAAATATGTCATCTTTTTAAAGTTTTAAGCTTACACTTTGAGAACCAGTGGTCGTACCGGGCACATTAAGGGACGGTGGCGCCAAACAGTCACATTTTTTCCTCCAATGCGGCTGTCATCCGACAATACTTTCTTCCCTGTAATAATATGGCGCTGGAGCGAATCGATATGGCCTCACAGCATCGACGTTAATAACACGAAATATTTAATTGCCACCTTTTTTCCGGACGAACTTTTTTTCAAAAAGCTTTGTACTCTATTTCTAGAAGTATTTTTAAGTCATTAATTATCTTATTACGATTAGAAATATCATTTTTGTTGTGTCTGTTGTTTTCTTTTATCATATTCATCTCCTTATTTAGCCTACTTTGATTAATAATATTTTTCACTGACCACTACATGAACCCAGGTTCTAGCAATCAAAACGACTTCTTCTATAAATACTACTAGTACTTCTAATAATTATTGGAATATATGTAAGTGATGCGTATTGTTATTCTTTGTGAGGCTGAATAGAAAACTATCGACGAAATCTCATAATAGAATTACTGTTTCTTTATGGGCTGTATCAAAATTTTCTTCCAATCTATATAATTGTTTAAATGGAATCAAATGCATAATGGCTTCTTCTTCTTCTTATGTATTTATTTCTTAGACAATTTAAATCTTCATCTTATTTATGTCAATTAAAGACGCATCATCAAAAGCAACTCGACCTTTAAGACTCTTCTAAGTAAGCTGCATGGACGTGTGCTGTGGTAAAAAACAAACATTGATTTACAACCGCGATCCGAGGCGACGTTAAAAAAGCGATCCGGGGGGATTTTAATGCCCGCAATTCCCGCTAAAATAAATAATTGTAAATACACAACATTGTAAATAGACTTTTACAGCGGCTAATGATGGCCGCAGAGTCAAAGGGGCCGCGTATTAAGCATTGTAAAATGAATAAAGGCGCTGCCGTTAACTGCGATTGGTAGTAAATGCGGGAAAAATTGCCCCGACATGTTTGTTCAGTTGCTAATGATCCCGGATTGGGGTACAGTATCAGCCGCGGTGCTGGTTCGACTGTAGACGGTTTTTAAAGTACCAGACCTGGTAGATTTAGACGGCGAAAATTACGATGGTAATTCTCCTGGTAGATTTATAAGTGGCAAGGGAGCTGGCGGTTCACCCGATGTTAAGCGATAATCGCAGCCCATGGCCATTTGCAACACCCGTACGATTGCAGATGCGTTGCCGCCATTTAATAAAGTGGGCCCCGGCTACCTCACTCACCAGACGATACGCGGAAGTATAACACTTTTAGATAGTGGTATTTTTCCGGACGGACCTGCCCAATCTTGAGAGGCCCTACCACAGTTATATTGAGTTTGTTTATTAGCTTAAACAAAGTCGCTTTATGCCCAAAAGATCTATAGTATACACGGATGTATCTATATAGTGTCATAAAACTCGAAAAGGATTTGATTGAGGTTATACGTCCTGGGAGTCGCGGACAACCGGTGCATACAAACGTTCATTTAGGCATTCTAAGAGGCATTTATTCAACAGGACGTCTTCCGACTGAAAGCGCTGTATTAGAGTGAAATTTTTAGGTGGTAGTTGTGCCGGAGCGAGTCCATCAGCTATTCTTTAAATAAAGAATTAGCATCTGTATAAACTAAAACCATTAGCGTAATGTTCTGTACCAATGGCTGAATATTTATTCCGCTGATACACTCCTCACCGTGGAACAAACGCAATAAAAGCACAACGAAGCGGGCAACACGGCTACGAAATTAGTAACGTGCTGTTATATATGCTCCCTGTATGTAATAGACCTGACCTAGCCTGCTACCTAATCCAACCCTTGTCAGCATATTTATAAGCACTAGATGCCCCCTGCATTGAAGAGTCAGTTCGTCACAAGCATCCAAAGCGGTAACACTTGCCCGACATTCGAATTCCATTCTGATCTATTATATTTTAAAGTGTTTTAATAAGAAATATATATTTTGTGATTTAAACTTTTTTTTAAAAACCTAAATTCCGAAAACCGTATAACAAATTTGGTGGCAGCTTAAGGGATCATACTACTGGTCCTCGGTCCGTCTCCAATTCGCGATCAGTGGAAAATAAGACAAGTAAAGTGCAAGTGTTAGTAAACGTCTGTACCTAAATTAGTGTCGAACTCGGGTGAGATAAATAATCTTCGCAAAATATAAATCATCTCATCCTCAAAATCCTGTTCCTGCGAAATATACAAATCCAGCCTGTTCCGGAGCGCCTACAAGTCTTCGTGCTGCATAGCGTGACCGAATAAAGAGCGCTAATTTTATCAAGAATATGTTCCTGCATCTCTACTTCGTCGCGATCCTGTAAGTGCTAAAAACTTCTCCGAATTTCAGTGATACTACAAAGCCGTGCCTCGTTATTAAAGTGTTGTGTTCAAAATAGTTTATAATACTTCTATGAATAATAATTAAAAACTTTTCATGTACTTAATGTAATAATAAGTATATAATTCCTTACGCATATTACCATTTCAATTACTATTCTCGAATTATAACAATATACTTAACGCATAATTCATAGGAAGAGCGTCTTCGCCACTGCACCTGCGCTTATCAGTAGCTCATATTAAGTTACTCGGTTGGCCGCCTATTACACCGTAACATTCCAATATTAATTAAATTTCGTATTTTATATAATAACATAATTAAAAATGGCAAATAAAGATTCTACTATTAAAGCCGAAAAAGGGGAACCAATGCGAGCCGGAGAACTATTCCAATTCATAAATACTTTTGATGGCTCTCGCGAAGAATTAAATTCATTTATAACAAATTGCGATAATGCCATGTCTTTAGCAACGGATTCACAGAAATCGACTGTTTTTAAATACATTCTTTCTCAATTACGAGGTAGAGCTAACGCTGCTGTTTCAATTAAAGAATACGATTCGTGGGCGCAACTTAGCGACTTCCTTCTTACACAGTTTGGCGAAAAGAAACACTATACACATTTACTAACCGATTTACAAGAGTGCCGTCAATTACCTAATGAATCAGTTACAAACATATGCGTTGCGTTTGGAAACTTGCCTGTCAAAGTTACTTACAGAAATTACATTGTCAAACAAGAAGAAGTCTGAACTACAAGGTCGTATAGCTTCAATGGAAGACCTCGCTCTCCATACGTTTTTACTTGGTCTTAAACCGAACATTTCCAATTTAGTCCGTGGTAAGAATCCTAATCAACTGAATGAAGCCTTAAATTTAGCAGTATCCGAAGAAAAGATACAACAAATGTTGTATAAACGTAACTTACCCAATCATACTCCAATGTCACCGCGTCATATGCAACGATCTAATCACTTATTCAGACCGGCGATACACAATGTCAATGTTAAACCCCAAATACATATGCAAAACAATGCATTTTGTCGCTATTGCAAAAATCAAGGACACACCATAGAAGTGTGTAGAAAACGCGAATATAACAATAATCGGTTTAATGCAACTCAGTCTCAAACTAATCGTTTTAATTACAGTCGCGATAATAATCATCAAAGATATCCGCGAACACAGCCAGCACGCGTAAACTTCGTGGAAACTAATTATGATCGTGATTACTCTCAACCACAACCTAGTACTTCTTATGACAAAAATCAATACAACATTGATACCGAAAATAGCGACGCAGATCAGCAAAATCTAGATAGCGGAAATTTAAACGATTAGCGGGCTCACGGTGGTGTCTCGTGAGACCCAAGTCTCTACTCTCTATCAAACAAATTGAACACAATGACACCTTACCAAACCATGTACAAAGCCAACTATACACGAAAACCATTTCATCATATATCCCAAGACCACAAGGGTAACCAGCCCCAAGCAAGTGTCTATTCTTCAATATCCCAGGACCACAAGGGTAACCAGCCCCAAGCAAGTGTCCATTCTTCAATATCCCAGGACCACAAGGGTAACCAGCCCCAAGCAAGTGTCCATTCTTCAATATCCCAGGACCACAAGGGTAACCAGCCCCAAGCAAGTGTCCATTCTTCAATATCCCAGGACCACAAGGGTAACCAGCCCCAAGCAAGTGTCCATTCTTCAATATCCCAGGACCACAAGGGTAACCAGCCCCAAGCAAGTGTCCATTCTTCAATATCCCAGAACCACAAGGGTAACCAGCCCCAAGCAAGCGTTCATGTCTCGAATCCACAGAACCACACGGGTAACCAGCCCCAAGCAAGTGTTCGTAATCTTATTCCTATTTCCAAAACAATTCATAAAAGTACACGTATGTCAGAGCATCGCCGAATACATCCTGAAAATAATGAAAACTTAAATCTACACCCTATTCCAAAAGATGATGTAATTTACGAGATTACGTGTAATCCAAATAAAAAATCACTACCTCATGTAATAATAAAAACTAGTGTATCTGAAAATCCACTTACCTTTCTTGTAGACACTGGATCCTCAATCTGCCTTATTAAACAATCATCCATTCAGTCGCACCTGAACCTGAAACTAAAAAAGGATACAATTAAATTAAAAGGAATAGATAACAGTAAAGATGCCGTTCCTACCTTAGGTAATTTCGAACTCGATCTTCTTTTCGGCAAAGAGACCGTCGCCTTTACATTTCATGTCGTTGAAGAAATCAATCTCACCTATGATGGCATTATTGGAAATAATTTACTTACCCATTATCAGTGTAATATTGATTATAATCGCAATGTATTCAATTTAAACCGAAATAAACTTAAACTTAACTTTACAGAACCTGTTTATAATATACCTCCTCGCTCAGAAATGATTGTAGAGTGTTCAATTAAAAACCCAGAACTAAAAAATGGGCTTATTTTGGACCAACACATAAACGAAAACCTATTGGTTGCTAATTGTTTAGTAAATGTAAAGAATAATAATAGAGTCAACATCACTGTTCTCAACACCTCCGAAAACAATGTCTCGTTAAATTCAAATCTTAATCTTACCTTATATCCATTACATTACGACGTACTCCATGTGCCTCAATCCAATCAAACATGCCTAAAACGAACTCAAGAAGTGCTTAACTTACTCCGCACCTCTCATTTGAATCATGAAGAATCTGAAGCCCTGTACAATATATGTAGTGCATTTTCCGACATTTTTCACCTACCTGATGATCAACTTACCTTTACTGATGCTCTCCAACACGAAATCCGAACAACCTCTGACCAACCTATAAATGTAAAATCCTACCGATTTCCTGAAATTCATAAACAAGAAGTCCAAAACCAAATTCAAAAAATGCTCGATCAAGACATCATCCAACCCTCTATCTCTCCCTGGTCCTCTCCCATATGGATTGTACCAAAGAAAATCGATGCATCGGGACAAAAGAAATGGCGAATAGTCATCGATTACCGAAAGTTAAACGATATTACTATTGGCGAAACATATCCTATCCCGAACATAACCGAAATATTAGACCAATTAGGCAAATCAAAGTACTTTTCAACCCTCGATCTGGCTTCCGGTTTCCATCAAATTAAAATGGCCTCTCAAGATTCATGCAAAACTGCTTTCAGTGTTCCCCAAGGACATTTTGAATTTAAAAGGATGCCTTTCGGCCTGAAAAACGCGCCATCTACTTTTCAGCGGCTTATGAATAACGTCCTCACCGGCCTGCAAGGAGAACGATGTTTCGTCTATCTTGACGATATCGTTATTTATTCATATGACCTTAAATCCCACATCCAAAACCTTTCCGCTGTTTTCCATAAACTCCGTATTTTCCACTTAAAGTTGCAACCCGACAAGTGTGAATTTTTGAGGAAGGAAGTTGGTTACCTAGGTCACGTAATTACCGAAAATGGTGTAAAACCTGACCCAAATAAAATTAAATCCGTTCAAGAATTCCCTGTACCAAAATGCCCTAAAGATATAAAATCCTTTTTAGGCCTTATATCATACTACAGGCGTTTCATCCCTGAATTTTCTAAACTTTCTAAACCTCTTACATGCCTCTTGAAAAAGGAAAGCCCATTTATCTGGTCCAACGAACAACAATTCGCCTTCGAAAACCTTAAAGATAAATTAATAACTGCACCGGTCCTAATCTACCCCGACTTCACAAAATCGTTTACGCTCACCTGCGATGCGTCAAACTACGCAATATCCGCTATCCTCTCCCAAGGTCCTGTAGGTAAAGAGCATCCTATAGCCTACGCGTCACGAACACTTAACAAAAATGAAGTTAACTATAGCACTACAGAAAAAGAACTTTTAGCAATTGTATACGGCTGTAAAACATTCAGGCCGTACTTATTCGGTAGAAAATTCTTTATTGTTACCGACCATCGTCCTTTAAAATGGTTATTTAATCATACTGACCCCAGCAGTAAGATGCAACGTTGGCGCTTACAACTCGAGGAATATGAGTACGAAATCATATACCGAAAAGGAAAACTTAATTCTGCAGCCGACGCACTCTCACGCTACCCTATTCGTAACGAAAGTCCAATCAATACTATAAATCCTGTAAATCCTATAACTACCGAAAATCCTGGTAACGAACTTATAGACCTCGGTCCTTTGAACTTTAGTCCATTTAACAATGAAGATGTAGACTTCACACCTTTGAACATGCCATCTCCTGCGTACTCAGATCCACAGCATCTACTTGACAATCCAACACTAACCCCTACATTACTTGAAACAAAATCTAACGAAATTCAACCTAGCACAAGCTACCAAAATCCCGTAGTTGAAAATCCTGAAACAATTCCAAAAATCACTCCAATAACCGACTCATACTCCCAATTCTTAAAGAACTCTCCAAACCTGCAATATGATACCCAAATTATCGAACATAATGACAGCATATTAAAAAGCCCGCATAGTATCCTTATAATACCTACATCCATTGACCTCGACGAATCAATGCCCTATGTCGAAGAAATCTTATCAAATTTTCCCGAGTCTCAGTCGTTCATCCAATCCGAAAAAACATTACATTCATTCAAATCGTTTTTACACAACACAAAACAACATTATTTCTTATTTTTAAAAGTACACCACTTTGATGACTGTAGTTATAATGACATATTCGAATCCCTGAAGTGTTTGAGAAACCATTTAGTCCTGAGTAACGAGTCTGTTAACAAAATAAGCCTAACAGACTTTCGAAACCCGTTTGATAGACATGCCTATATCAAAATCTATAATATGCTAGCATACTTATTTCATCATAATACAAAAATAGAAATTCACATTTATAGAAATAAAATTTACTATCCTAGTCCTAGCGAAGTCCAAAAGATTCTGAAAGAGAATCACGACATCCCTGTAGCGGGACACCTCGGCTCAAATCGTATGTTCAATAAAATTCGTGAACAATATTATTGGAAGAATATGCGTAGTGACATTGAGAGATATGTAAAGGACTGCTCACCTTGCCAAACTAATAAAGCTTTACGCAAAATAAATAGAGCCCCTATGCAAATAACAAGTTCCTCCACAACTCCCTTTGAAAGATTGTCCCTAGACATAGTCGGACCTCTCCCAGAGTCCGGACCTGCTAAGTTAAAATACATATTAACTCTCCAAGATGATTTAACAAAGTACTCAATAGCTTACCCAATTAGAAACACCACCGCCGAAGAAACAAGTGAGTGTCTGATTCACTTTATATCCTTATTTGGAATCCCTAAAACTATCCTCACAGATCAAGGAACCAACTTTACAGCTGAATTATTCAAACAAACCTGTAACTTCTTAAAAATAAAACAGCTGTGGTCGTCTCCTTACCACCCCCAAACTCAAGGTGCACTAGAGCGCAGTCATTCCACGTTAAAAGAATACCTGAAATCCTATGTTTGTGAAAGCCAAGATAACTGGCCGAGATACGTTTATACAGCGATGTTAGCGTATAACACAGCTATACATACTACAACTAAATATTCACCCTACGAATTAGTATTCGGGCACAAACCCTATATTCCAAATTCCGTGTATGAAACTGCTTCCGACGTCACTTACCCGGACTATGTTAAAATGTTACAACACCGCCTCAAATATACGAGAGATAAAGCTGTAGAAAATATAAATAGGTCGAAAGAAGTGTCCAAAACTTATTACGACTCGCGTTCGCGCTCAATGAAATATCAAGTCGGAGACTTTGTCTTCCTCAAAAACCACCTAAGATTACGTAAGGCCCTATCACCGATTTGGAAGGGACCCTATAAAGTAATAAAGGTAAATGGTAGAAATACTCTTACATTACTTATAAACAGACGCCACGTCACTCACCACTATGATGAAGTGAAACTTGCTCGGCGCCGCGATTGATTCATAATAATAAAAAAAAAAATAATAATAAAAATTATATATACGGATAAGTTACTTATAACTCCTTTTATGTATACGAAATAGTAAAATTCATTAACTCTATAATTTTATTACAGTAGCCTGACCTGGGCACAAGAGCAATTCTTCCAGTCAACAGCAAATAGTCCTGGAATTTATTTCGACCCCATCGGTTCTTTAAAAATAATAGATGGTCATCTTAGTGTAGTTATTCCGAATGATATTTCATTTATTAAACCCCATTTCGATAATCTAAACGGTGTGATAGGAACCTCCCGACACTTATGCAGACGCAGTAATATTTTTAATGAAGTCGAGTGTCATAATATGTTGCAACCATTATCTATTCGCTACTATGAAATAGTACGTAATTTTGAGTCAATTTCTCATTTAATAGAAAGTCGTTCACGGCGGTCTGCATGGTTTTCCGGAATCGGAACCGTATTCAAACACCTCTTTGGTACAATGAATGAAGACGACGCCATTAAATACAGCGATGCAATTCAAAATGTAGAAAATGACCAAACTAGATTATCTAATTTAATAAAAGAAAATATTTTGATAACAACCTCGACTCTGTCATCTTTTAAAAAGACAATAAATAAAATTACTATAAATGAGCAACAATTAGACATTGCTCTTGAAAATTTATCTCATAGTCTGCAAAATGTCACTATGATTACAGACAATTTATTGATAAGATCTAGATTAAATCAAATGTTAAATATCTTAGAAGGTACTTTATTAACATTATCTTTTAAACTTGAAGACATTGTTGACGCCATTATGTTCAGTAAATCAAATATATTACATCCATCTATCATTACGCCAAAACAGTTATTCGACGAATTAGTACAAAACTATCGATTTTTACCAAGTTCTAGGCAATTCCCTGTTAGTTTATCTTTGGAAAATATTTACTTGTTACTAAATATATCCGACATCGCTAGTTACTATAGTGAAAATAAAATTGTATTTGTTTTAAAGATACCATTAGTATCCCCTAAGGAATATAATCTATATCACTGTTTACCCTTTCCAGCAATGATTCTAAAAACTAATATTACATATACAACAATAATGCCGTCGACTAAATATATTGGTGTAACTAGAGATAAGTCTTTTTACTGTAAGATGAATAGTGTAAATAGATGTAAGGTCCTATACAATCGCTATTATATTTGTGATTCTATAGATATGTATTCTAGTTCTGCAACACCGATCTGCGAATCGGAAATAATGTCTAAAGCATTAAACTCTGTACCAGCCGTATGCGATACTAAATTCTTTCAAGGCCACGTCGAAATTTGGCAATCTTTGTCTAATAATAAATGGCTATATGTAATAAGTGAAAATTCTAAACTATCAATAGACTGCCAATCAGAGATAAACGAAAGGAACATTGTGGGTTCCGGTATATTTAACCTGCCTTCTAATTGTTTTGCTTATTTTAAGGATTTAAAGTTACTTCCCAAATATTCTAAAACCATAGAGATTCATCCTATTAATTATGCTATTGATATACTTAACGATACATGTTGTAATTTCACTAGATTTCAGAATATTAACTATAAAATTCCGTCGTTAAATTTAAGAAATATTAATTTAGACTCACTATTATCTGAACACACTAAAGCCTCTAACCAGATAATAAAAAACTTAGATTCTTTTGCAACTAAGCCGCATATTATTCTCTACGGTAATTATTACTCATATACAACTATTGTTATTTCTATAATAATTGTTTCATTGATTTTATTTTTAGTATATAAACATTGTAAGCCTGGCATGTGTAACCGTATTTTAAAAGAGAAAATTTAAAAATAAGCTTAATATTGAAAATGCCCAAGACCTATCAGATATCCCCCCTGAATCTCCTAAACCCTCAATACCCAAGATTAGAACATCATTTACATAAACTTCACCATTTTGGTGTAAGTTTAGTCTCAACCCCGAGGGCTGTTATATATGCTCCCTGTATGTAATAGACCTGACCTAGCCTGCTACCTAATCCAACCCTTGTCAGCATATTTATAAGCACTAGATGCCCCCTGCATTGAAGAGTCAGTTCGTCACAAGCATCCAAAGCGGTAACACTTGCCCGACATTCGAATTCCATTCTGATCTATTATATTTTAAAGTGTTTTAATAAGAAATATATATTTTGTGATTTAAACTTTTTTTTTTTTAAAAACCTAAATTCCGAAAACCGTATAACAGTGCGTAACCAAGAATTTCTGGGAAACAATCAGTTCCTTCAAAATTGGTGGCCTCTCTAAACACATGAGTCTGAGCCCTACTTCGCTATTAAAAAAAAACGGACCCGGGCCGCTCTATAAAAGTAATTAACTCTGACTGAAGATAATTGATGAAGCTCAGAGATTACTGCCCTGGTCTTTCCGCCGCGACGGCGGTTCTAGTCACGACTTTGACGCGGTCGTCATAAAGCCGGTATTCCAATGGACTTGGCGCAGGCCGCAATAAAAGTATCGGCTCGTAGGGGCAGACGAATAGTGGAGTATTTTTTTCCCCCTCACTAGTTATGGAGCACTATACGCTTCCCAATCGGTATTATTATAATATCGTCAGGTTCGTGGTCCATTTTCATTTAGGTCGTGTGTGACGGACGCCTTTTTACGTGTGTGCGTGACCGTAATTTCAGTGGTGTTTTTTTGTCTAACGCCACAGGGCTTTTATAATATATCTACGTGTGTTCTCATCTATTTCACAGCTCTTATTATATGCAATATGTTATGTGCTCTGGCCTTTTTTCTCCCGTCATAATGATCTGTCCGTATCGCGAGGATGTGATGAGTTTATCGCGAGGCGCTACGCGGCCGTAGTTTTAATGAAATAATCTTTACCGGTGTTGGTTTTACGATGTGAAAATTACCCGGGTGGTGCTCGAAAGCTGGCGGATAACAAGGCTTAGGATCGATTCCCCATTGCTTAATGCTTCACAGTTGTACAATGAAAATAAAGGATTCTTGTCCGCAACAATTACGTTTCGCTAGTACTGATAGTATCGCTTTTGTAACTGCTTGCATATGCAAGTGAATATATATTCAAGTTATTAGTTGATTTTCGCAATGTGATTCTGTGACGCCGTTGCCAAGGTTATGGCTTCGGCACGGTTGTGGGTTCGATTCCCACACGGGACGTTTATTTGTGCGACCCTCTGTTAGTAGTTTCGCATTTGGCTGTTTCTCCGCGTGAAATATATGTTTGTTAACGTTTGTAAGCACGTTAACAAACATATGTTATCACAGGACACAGGATAATGTTATAGTAAAGTAAGAGCAATGTTTAAAAAAAATGATCGAACAAATTCCCTTTAAATACGAAACAAAATACCAAATTAACACACCCAAAGTTTTACTAAATTCGCGTATAGTGGGTTTTAGTGGTTCATAAAAAACCCTTTTGTTGTGTCCCCATTTGACATGGTGTATACAGGCCTTTGTACCTGCCCGGAGTGGTTTTTTATGTTCCCAAATTGTTCACGAAGCACCGCCGACCACAGTAAGGACCACGCCTAGGAATGTATATTCACGAGGAAAAGTTTTCGTATTAATTCAATTAAATAATTTTAATTCAATGTAATGATCACAAAATGATGCTGTTGAAGGTTAATAATAAGTTAAGTTACATGTGATTATGTATATTTTATCCATGAAAAAACATGATGTAGTATCGTCTCTACATCATGTCAAATAAATCTTTTGTATTGAATGTTACACGTAAAGTTTTTTGCATACTTTACGTTATGTAAACATAAGTGTTTGGAGTTTTCCACGAAGTAATTCAACACATACAAATATTAAATAATAGCGCATTTCACAAATTTTAAATGATGACGTTAATCGTTTTACTTGATGTCTTGCCGTATCTGGCTTAAAATGTTTATTTCATTTGGATGGAATCTATACCTTAGGATATATGTATATATATCAACCTTACAATTTAAAATAAGTAATAATATAATATTGCCTCATAAGAGAAAAACATTTCACAATCCGTTTCCGTGTGAGTTTTTGTAATTATCTACGATGTAAAAAAGTTTAGGTGTGTAGAAAATTATTATATAATGAAGATTTGAAGTGAAAGAAGCTTCACAATAACTTAATTATCTCAAAACGAAAGTACAACCAACTTCTTTAATCATAATTAAATAATAACCATTTTAAACAAAAAAATAACAAACGGAATAGTTGAAAACGTATATTCAGACAATACGTAGATATATCAAGTTTTTACGCGACACGAATTCGTTTAGATTTTATGACTTTGACTAAACTAAGCACAGGATTCCTTAGCATTTATTCGGGCAACTGTATAGTACGCTTTACGAACGTGTTAATAAGCGGTCCCTTAGGACAAAGGGGGTGGGTTTTTTCCGTCGCCGGTTCGGTTATATAACCCATCTTTTATACGTTTACGATGCTCCGTAAAACAGACATAACCCATTAGGGTGGTAAAACTTTTTGAGTTGTTTATCGTGCGATTGTGGAATTCAGGTAGCAGTGGTGACGTTTACATGCGACGGATTGTACGATCTAGAGGTTCTATAACAGCTCGGTTGCTTTTCGGAAAATTTTGCCAAATTATTATATTAAGAACCGAAGTGTCAACTTTTAACAACGTCAAACTCTTGTCAACGTTAATTAGGTTCCTTTGTTCACTCAGGAAGAACTGATAGCTTCTCGCAGAATACCTTCACACTCGGTAAGAACGGACACCGTCTCGGAGAATGCTTTGACACTCAGAAAGAATTAAAGCGTCTCGTAAAATGCCTTAACACATAGAGAGAACCGAGAGCGGCTCGCAGAATGCTTTTACACTCGGAAATCATCAAACGCGTCCTTCAGAATGCTTTAACACCCAGAAGGAATTGATCTACTCGCGGAATCCCACTTGTCGTCTTATCACGTCGTCAATTCGCGCCATCACCAAACGAGGTCTATATTCCGCGGCTAATTCGCGATGCTTGTGTACGGCGCTGTCCCCGGACTGGCTAAAAGCGTTCAGCACTCAGGAAGTGGGCAAAAACGGCGGCATTGAGCGACTTTCGCGTTGGAACGTCCTAGGAATGCAGAGTTGGACTGCGGTGAAACTTAATAACCGGCGCACTCCGAGAACCGCTCAGCGAGACTTGTGTCGACGCCTCGCGATCTGAGAAGAATCGGAGGAGGCGCTTTGATTTTAACTCAACTCGGTATGTGATGCTTGTTGAATATGTGAGGAAGTGAATGAAGGCCCTTCATGGTCTTCTAAATTTCCTATTTATTTCACCATTCACGACAAGATGGGATCGTAGTGAAAACTGGATGGTATATTACTAACCATTGTTTTGAAAGTAATGTATTTTTTCCCATGTAAATAATTTTTTCCAAGTTTGGATGGAGGTATCACCAACTGAACAAAGGTTAACTAAAGTTTAAACTTATTTCTACATCTATACAGACAAATAAAATTGGAGTGTCTGTTTGTAATATTAAAATAACCCCTTTTTACTATATGCATATGCATTACTGTTGTAATAAGGAGTAACTTAGGCTACTTTTATTTCAGATTTTTTTATTTTAAATTCCACGCGGACCAGGTCGCGGGCACAGGTAGTATTTTAATAAAATTTAAAGTTCAATAAGATAAATATAACTTTATTGCGACTGTTTTAACTCTTTGGGTTTCTGTGTTTACTAATAAACTATTTTCCCCCCTTTAACTAGAGAAGCGACTTGAGTTTAATGTTAAGGAAATTAAAAAATCGAAGCTTTTAATTAAAAGAACATTTTTTATTAATCCAACGAAATTATTCATATACATTAAGCCGCATCCACTTGATTAGATCGCGACTTGTACATCTCGAATAACTAACCTACATAAGATGTAGTTAATTGTGACAGTGTAGAAACTGAAGCAGAGTATTCGAAGGGAAAAACATTGAGTTTAACGACATCTCGTATGCTTGTGCTGCAGAATCGAAATGCCTGTAGAAGTTATTGATGTCCAAACACGAGGATTGTATTTAGCGTTAGCGGAAGAATGGCGAATAAGGAATAATATAAGGAGAATGTATGTGTATTGCACTACTTGTTATTAAGCTTAACCATGTATAACATGGACGATTGAAATACCTTATTCTTACTTTATTAGCTTACGTTAAATGCATAGTGATGATTATTAGATTTTTGTTTGATACAATATAACCTTTGAAGCATTGTTTAAATGTAAATATTTTATGTATAATGTTTTTTTATTCATAATTTAGTCGTTTTAAATTCGCTAAACGGTTTATTGAATGAACCATTTTCTTGGCTCTAGCTCTCATGATATATAATTTTCTGCAATAAATCATTATCATGACGACAGGCGTAATTAAATCGAGCAATTATGATTTAGTTACTCCATCGATAAACGTCGGTTAAAGCTGCGTAGCGCTAGGTCATTCAGCTATTTTGACTGTCGCAATCCTTAACTGGGTCGTCGGCCGACGCTGGTGCGTTCGCCTTCAGCGTCATTTAACTTGTCCGGCAGTCGGAGCTACAAATTGCGTCCTTTCCGGATGGCTGGAGTAATAGCAGGAGCTCCGCCGTTCATGTTCGCCCAGTTATGACATTTCGGTCAGCTCCCATTACGCTAACAGAACAGCGTTCTCCCAACGGATTATCTTTGTATATACAATTCTTCTGTACGTGTCTATGTCACTGAACTCCTCCTGAACGGCTGGACCGATTTTAATGAAATTTTGTGTGTCTTCGGGTCGATTCGAGAATGGTTTAGATTCACAGTTCGTATTTTTTTTGTTTTTTTTTTTATGTATAAGTTGTTGTCGGATTTAAGTCGCGTGTACAGGACAACGTCTGTTGGATCCGCTAGTATATATTATATCTCGTTAAATTCCGTTTTTATGACAGTGACATGACTCTCGCGAAATAAGATACGATGAATGAAAGAAGATGATGATGACGCATCGATATGATTTTACATAACTTTAATCACTCATTCGAAGTATATTGACCTAAATTGATCTCTAGCTAAACCAGATTTATAAATTATATATTAAAGCGCCTGGGAGCGACACCAGAAGACGTGGGTTCGAATCCCGCAGCGAAATTTTTGTTCATTTATCTACAAAACTTCACACGTAAAACTATCGCTTGTGTTACAAGGTCACGAGTGTAGGTAAATGACAGGAGAAGTAAATGCAACGCGTTACTGCTACTCACTTTCTGTTTACAATTATTTATAACTATGCACATACATTGCTAAAACTTTCGTGAGACATAACTATCGAAATAATAAGACGGCTGAATTGACTTTTGTTGTATGCTGCCACCAGTTTCGAACCTATCGGAGATCCTTCATCGGGGTGAGGGATGATTTCGCGGTCGAACATAGCCGTAACTAGTTGGTACAAGCATCGATTAAACGTGAGTTCAGCCGTCTTATTATTTCATTGTGAACATTGCGGTCATTCTGCCTTGCAAAGAACAAACAGCGATAACGTATCTTTGTTCGCTTTACAACCGATGAATCTTTAGAAAGTTCCAGAAACCGAGAGCACTACACAAGGAGAAAGACAAAAACAATAGTTGAAATTGGCACATTAATTGGCGTATTCAACTTTTTCGCAAACCTCCCAATGGCTAGTTCATTACATGTTTGATGTCAGGATTTCTTATTTCATTCCCACAGCGGTATACTTTGAACAGTAGCGAGAGAATGGGCGATTAATATTTTCCCACAAGCCACGTTATTGTGGGAATCCGTGGAAAATATTAAGTAATGAAATTATATTATGATTTCTAGCCTAGATTTTAAGAGATATATAATTCATACTCGTTATTCATAGTCTAGTAATTTATTATACGTAACATCCCTATTCGATCTAGGTTCTCATGTTACTTGAGATGGTATCGAATACTTTTTTGTAATCTTAGCATGGTTCCTTACATCGATAGTTTATTTAGCCTCAATCACGTCACAAATACAACAAACAGTAAAAAAAGTAAAGTAACATATACAAAAAAGTAAAGTAACCTATACATGTCCCACTGCTGGGCAAAGGCCTCCTCCATCCCTAGCTATCAGGGCATAGTCCACCACGCGGTCCCACTGCGGGCTGGCGGTCTTCACATATCTTCGAAATATATATATATATTTTTTTTCGAAAATATGCAGGTTCCCTCACGATGTGTTCCTTCACCGTCGAGCACGTGATAAGTCAGCATTTAAAGTTAAAAACTTCATTGGTGCCGGCACCGGGGATCGAACTCAGGTTGCTCGAGTATATTGAATTAAAGGCAAGCGCCCCACTGAGCTATCACGGCTCGCTAAATACAACAAATAAAAAAGGAACATCTAAAAAGACACTACTACACTCTGGGTAGTCTAGAACTATATAAAGTTTTTCGTTATAGCACTATCTATTCATAATGCAGTACCATGACCTCACAGAAGACCAGCGCGTCAAAAGGTTGTCAACGCATCTGTAACCCCGGGTGTAGCAGATGTCCATGGGCGGCGGTATTCACTTACCATCAGGTGAACCGTCTGCAACGCATTCGCATAAAAGAAGAGAGCTTTGTTTATAAAAGCCCCTGTATATGTCCTTATAAATATAGGCAATGATAATTTAGATGGAATGGATAATTTAGGGCTAACAAAAAAAGTCCTTGATTTACTCTACAAGTGGAAAGTTGAACTTAAAGTGGTATATTGATAGATAACGGGATTTTTGTATGTCTCTTAGATTAGATTTAATCACTATTTTGATTAGACTTTGCATTCGAATTCTATTGGATTGGAAAAACCTCAGAGTAAAAGCGAAAAGTAAGACACAACAAACTTGTACCGAATAGTAAATATATAACGTTTATATTTTGAGTAGCTGACGACATTTGAGACACTCTATCATCTAATTGTCTAATGTGATGATCTTTGTAAAATTTGCCATCAGTAAAATTTCCGGAGTGAATTCCCCAATGATTTAAAAAAAAAAGTGTGTGCGTCTAACCTTTACGCGCGATTGAAGTAAAACTTCTTTGGCGTTGACGGCATATATCAATGAAATGATTAAATATTTAGTAACGTCATAAATATATGTCATATTTTAAAAATATGACATATACTTATGACGTTACTTCCGTCAGAAAAAATCTGAGTTACTCCCTAGTCGTGCCTAGATAAGTTTTACTTGAAAAAACTTCATGCACAAAACATTACAAACATAGGTGGACTTTATGCTGATAGCAATGCTGTGATCCTTCCTGCTGCCTTCAAGAAGAGAGTCCGTTGCATTCTAAGATAACGCTTTACGCGATAACGTTGATTCTAAGATGGTAACTTTTTCCCGGCTTTTGGTGTTGATAGCATTTATTGCTGACCATCAGATGGACCGCTTGCTTGTTTTTCCTCTTGTATATAAAACATCTTGCGGTTTCACACGGATGCCACCTCAGGAGATTTAATGAATTTCAAGTTTATAATGGGTGCTTTTTACAGGGAAAGTTTAAACCAAAATTTCCCAAATGAGAATCATGAGAATATTTCAGGAAGTATAATGAATTTTAGGGGATTTTAGTGGGTTTCTGAATATATAAATTTGCTTTAGGAGTTTTTTTTTTGAGCGGTTGGTAACACTGGTCTTAACCTTGGACATCACAATCGGCCCGCCCATCCTATCGCGCGCTCAATATTTACGTACCGCTCGCGATATAAACATGTCGTGGAAACGGTAAAGAGGCACCGGATCCCGAGATAGGTGAAAGCTGCTGCATTCAGCTTTCTAGGCTCCCAGCGATGCGACGCGATACCGCATCTCATTTACGATGCTCAATCGAGCCCTCAACTTTGAGGATACGCATCTTTATCGCCCCGAACACATCTCCGTCCGGTTTTAATAAGGCTTTGTTAATGCTACGGGGGTAGCGGCGCACCTATTGCGGTTCACCTATTAATAACAGCGGAATAAAGATGACCACGCGCAGCGGATCTAATTAAGATAACAAAGCGCGTTTAATGCGAACACTTGAACAAACATCGGATAGATAACGAGACATATCTGCCTGCACTAAGATTCGAGAGGTGCTGAATAAATAATAATAATTGTGGTCAATCACAATTGATCGTACTGAAAAATTATGTCCTGACTTTCAAAGTTGGTAAACC